TCGAGTTAGTATAGCTTCTAACTGCCTGTCTCACTATTTACAAATGTCTCCCATACCGAAAGTGCTCCTGCACTCGCGTTTACTTTCCTACGGAACTTTCTGGAGTTGCTATTTCTATCCGACTATTGGATCTCCTTGGGATCTCTTCCTTCTGATCCCCTTTTTACCTTGGTGTTCTCCTGGTTTTTTATTCACTGCTATCAGGGTTAAATTTTAGCTACTCTTCCTTTCTGCTTGTTGTACCAACATGCTATTCAGCACAGTTCTGGCAAGCAAAACAATGGTCTAATTGGAGGTAATGAATGGAAGTTTTCCAAGGTAAACCTGAGCTAAATGCAAAAGCAACAAACAGAACGAAGAATTTCTTTTCCTAAATTTTCCTCTTGTTTCCCATTTTCACTATTTCTCATGGACCATGTTTGGTCCAGTTTCAGCTTTTTTTTTTTTTTTTTTTTGAGTTATTGAACTTATGATCTGACATGCAGTTTCATAAGGGCATATATGATTTTTTGCAGTTACTTCCTTCTAGGTTGCAAGGTTGAATAGACCAAAAGGAGGCGTTAATTCTCTCAAATTGGAAATGAAAACTGACAGTTTTTTTTTGTCTTTTTGAAAGTAAAGCCATGATTCGGTTTTGCTTTTATAGATGTGTAATTTTGCCTGCTTTCCCTCCTGTTCGACCTGATGAACCCCGCGGGCATTGAGCGTGCCTAAGAGCGCGAATCATGCATTCTTTCAAAGCCGGTGGGGCGGGGCGGAGCGGAGCGGAGCGCGGTTCTGGCGCAAACACGGAGAGCGGGGATTACGAGCGAAAAGCTAGGGAAATATCGCGGTTTACAAATGTAGCTGGTGGGCATGACTCTCTTCTGAGTCAATAATAAGAGGTGTGAAAGTAGCACTGTAGCAGATGCAAAAAACAATGTTCATGAAACTGGATAAACAATCTGTTTAAGCATCAGCGATTTCTCATACATTGCTAGAGCGCGAGAACTAAGTAATAAACGAGAAAAGTTAAGAGAAAAAGGTCAAAAGTAAAATATGAGCTCTGTTTTCGCATTAAGATAATCAAACCACCTACACCCCTCAGATACCGATGCGAGAAAGAGAAAAAAGACCTCTTCCCCACCCCAGCAAAGGAGAAGATACTTGAAGGAAAAAAGATAATCAAGGAAATTACACAAAGGGGATTAACAGCACAAGTGAATGGTAAAAGAAGAAACGAAAAACGATACAAAAGTCCAACACGCTCGTCAAGTCGGATTAAGAGATAGGATTAAACGTCATGGAGCGGCCCGGTGGGGGTTGGTAGCGGGACGATTTGGTGTAAAATCGGCAGCGGAGGACTTGAGTGGTGCGGATAGCGTTATGCGCCGAGGCGGGGGTTCCCGGCGCCGTAAAAAGCAAGCCTGGGTCGGTTTGGGTCGTCGGAGTTATTGACAAGAGAATTTTATCTCCGCCCGAACCTGTTACAAATAGAAGAGCTCGTATGAATTCTACTTCTTTTTTTGTTTCCTGGGGGGAGTAATGGGTCTGCCTGTGCTCATGCCCCCGTAGACGTACTTTTGTTTCTTTTCGGCTGGTTTCAATATCTAACGATTGACAAAGAATTAGCGTCTTGCTGAAATACATCTTCCTGGAAAATCAAGACATACCTGGAATGAACAAAGAAGGCTTTCGTCAACACTCATCATGGCTCCTGCGTTGTCAAACTCGCCGCAATAATTTGGCGCACTAAATAGGGTGACTAATTGTCGTTTGGAGAAAAATTCGTAACCATCCTCGACGACCTGGTGGGCGCGACATATAAGGTCCATGTCGTGCTTTTGCAGAAACCTTGAAACAACGTCCGGGCCAAAGGTGAATGATACGCCTCGGTCGTTTTCGCTCCACCCGGTAATGTCTTTATCGGGGTCAGACCATAGAAGGTCACAAAGGAGTCCGCAGTCAGGAATCTAATTGTACCAAGAAGTTAACAACCGCGATTCAACGCGCTGCAAGAGGGCACTGAGATAGAGTGGATGTACAACGGAATGAGCAAATTTGGCAACAAGGAATTACTTACATCTGTAGGGCGCATGACGCGTCGAATCTGTTCCATCGAATTCAAATCGGGACTTAACCCACCGTGCATAGTAAAAATCTTCTCGTCAATAATAGCAGCGATTGGCAAGCAATTAAAGCAATCGGTAAACGTCTTCCACAGTTTGATATTGTATCTTCGTTTGCATTCGTCATAAAAGCCGTAAATACGGTTGATTGAGGCACACTCATGATTGCCACGGAGAACGAAAAAGTTTTCAGGGTATTTAATCTTGTATGCAAGGAGAAGGCAGATTGTTTCAAGTGACTGTTTACCTCTGTCCACATAATCGCCTAAGAAGAGGTAATTGGCCTCTGGCGGAAAACCGCCATACTCGAACAAGCGCAAAAGATCGTAATATTGTCCATGAATATCGCCGCAAATCTAACATAAAAAGGTAAACTTTAGCATCAAGTAGCAGGACACCAGTATACTAATAATTATGGGAGATTCGAAGCAAATACGAAAACATACCTTAATTGGTGCTTCGAGCTCCAAAAGTATAGGCTGCGAGATGAAGATCTCCCGAGCCTTTGTGCAAAGATGTCGAATTTCGGATTCCAGCAGCTGGACTTGCTTGCCGGGACGGCTACCTCTCACTTCCAACAATCTATCTATGATAGAGTCCAAATCAATTTCGTTTTGGTCAGCCATATCTTGCCGCGAGTAGCAGCAAGTTCAAGGCGGGGGATTTGTGGGGAAAAAGAAAGGCAGATGAGGGATTCGCGGCGGCGGAACGAGCGAAGGAGGACGAGGGAATATAAAACAGGAACAACTAGGATTAGGTGCGGATGAAGATATCGATCCTGTTTCCCTTGGTGTTTAGTGACTGGGTGAGGAATTCACTTCAGCCGCGTTATCACCGTGAGGAAGGGAAGGTCTACAGCGTCATTAACCGTAAACGCCGGGCGGATTCTCAGTTGGCGAGAAAGGTGGTTGAATTCGACTCAATACAAGATCAACGGAGGCACAGGAGTCTATTGCTGGACGAGAGCCGAAATGCGATATTGGGTCAACGGAGAAACGTAAGTCAGACAGCGATCGCTGAGGTGGGAGGGCCAAGGTTAGAAAACCCAAAACAACACTCAGAGAGGGTTGGTTGATTGGCAGGCAGAGGCGCGACCAAAGCAACTAGGACTCAATGAATAGCGAAGAAGACGCACGATGAACGAGATTTCAGGCTGGTGGGATGTCTGGTGTTGAGGTCATTTCATAGCATCAGGATTCTGTTGTCCGCGAGTGAAAGAGAAGTTTGCAGCAGCAGGCTAGCGTGGAGCTTAGTCAGCTTGTTTTGCAGGTGGCTTGGCATTGAGCGAGGGAACCAGCAGCGGATCTCAGGACGGCCAGTTGCGAGCTGCATGCGGGCGGATGGAAGCTTCCAAGTCCCTGCAACATCGGATTGTATTGTGGCGGGCGTTGCGGCATAGAGCGCGCCAATGAATCTGCCCTGCATGCTCACATTGGTTCCGCAGCAGTCTGGTATGATCTCTACCAATAGTTTTCTAGACTAGAACTACGTTTCCTGGCGGAATCAGCCTGCTATTATCCTCACTCCGGATTATCGTATTCCAAAATTCATAACTGCAGTGCGGCCTGTCTTATACTGTCCCACGGCCTTGCGCAGCCGCACCTTCTTCGGACAGTTGGCAAGACTTGTGCCCGATTAGGCGGCGCATTCTCCGCAAAATGTCCTTCAACTATAGGTACTTCCTTGGCTGTGTAGCCACCCGATACCGAGTTTCCGGCCCCGAAGATATGGGAAGATTTGGGGGTTGCCCTGTGACATGAATTGTAGTTGACGGGTTCATCTGTACTCAAGTTAACAGAATTTTTGTCACAGCTCGGCTCTTTGGTTCAACGTAGCTCAACCATTGGCCAGCACACAAAATGCGGCAGCATATGTTGGCTGTGGAATAGCCTTGCATCTCGAATGGCAGATCTTTCCGCTAATGCCTCGTTTCGCGTCCGGGCTGCCATGGCCTTTCTGGTCTTTCTCTCCCAATGTGCTCCGTTCCAACAGTCCGTGCCGCCCAAGCTTGAAGCCGAGTTCACGTTCAGGGGCTTGGATGCCACGCTAACCGCATTTAATCGCACGCCACAGGTGGCTGACGGAGGGACTGCGAACCAAAAACACTCCGCGCCAATAGTAATAAATTACGGCATGGGGTAACAGCCCCGTATGGCCCGAAGTGACTACGGTTTGCTTTACATTCACCGCCGACAAGCGGTTAATCATTCAGCATCTTGACGCCTGTTCTTCTCCTCCGAGTTTTGTGGCTGCTGCATCATAGTCTCCAATATGCCTCCCCGCGCTCTAGCTGCTAGCCTTTTCGTGTTCTCGGTTTGAACCTGCTGCGCACCCTTACCAACTCCGAATCCCCCAAACCCCTGAGAGTCAACGATATGAATCTCTGTTATGGAGACCTTTGTTCATGAGGACTCGCCACTGGCCGATTACCTTGAAGGTAAGCAACCTTTGAAATAGCCGGGGGTATTTGCTAATCGTGTGCTCCTCTTCTTGCAACAGGTTCTGGTGAAGCCCGACCAGAGTGGCTTTCCCAGGATATAGCACTACCACCCCCAGACTCCCCGAGTTCTGGGCCTGGGAACTTCGCTCCAACCGGCGGGTCTAAACTTCAAAACCGGATACGAAACAAATTACCTGCTCCTTTGCGCTTGCACCATTCGAATAGACGAGAGACCTTGGGGCGCATCCAGGACGCATTTCTTGTAGGTGTTCCAACTACGCTGCGCTGACCGTAGAGGGGTTTTTCTCACAGTCTCTTGATTTTTAGGGAGCCTTGAGTGCGAAGATTGGGAAAGGCGAGAATGAACGTTTCCTCGAGCAGTTCGGATACATCGTCGTCGCATCACAGCTTCTAAATGAACCCACCCCGTCAGCAAACACCTCGATAGCAGGAGTTCTAGCTGATAGCACAACAAGCACCGAGCCTCAGGTTACGCTACAGCCCGCTGTGTTTGATCTCTCTGGGGTTATATTCTCTGGTCTCGCTTCATTTCTCGTCGTATGGCTCTTTCATTCGGCTCGTCCTCGGCAGGGTGGAGGGTGGAGTATCAAACGCATTTTTTTATTCGTATTTTTTCTAACAGCCGTTGCTGTGGGGTTCTACATAATCGCAAGACGACAATGGCTCAAATACGTAAGACAAGAGGCGTTAAATGTCGCGAGGATTTTTGTTGGGAATTCTCAAAATTTTGACTCCGTTGCCGCAGCTTCGGTTCTTTTGATCCAGGAGGTAGAGCTTGTATCTCGAGGATACCGATTGTTAGTGGGTATGATTCGTTTGTCTACCAGTACATGCTGACGACTTGATAGAAGTACCCCGATGCCCCCAGTAACTCGCTTGGAAGAGCAAACCCAGGCGCGACGGTGTCTGAAACTTCGCCGTCTGCTTTTAAATTGTATGAGTGAGATGCTGGAAAAATACACCGAAGCGAAACGGAAACTTCGAGTATATGCAGACTCTACTAATCTCGGAAAGTACTACGATATCTACGACTCATCCCCAGAGGAGCTGGACGAAACAGAGTCGACTCTAACAGATACCGGTTTAGAGGACAAAACGTCACTCAAGTCGCTTCGAACTTTGTTTACCCGTCTCTATGCAGTAAGGACGAGTATGCTATGCTGTTTGTTGGCATTGCCAGCAGATGGAACCCAGTTAGATGCGAAAAGATGGGGTATTGCCGTCGATGAAATGCAACAACTCGGGACTTCGAGCGGCGCCTGTATCCAGAGGCTAACGGACATTCTTCAGGAGCAAGATCGTAAGTGTGATGCTTGAAATCATTAACTGCCAATACTAAAATTACCAGGGGACACGATAGAAACATCCCCAAGGCCTAAGCTTACCCCCGCCACCAGGGAGCGTCATCGAGCTCAACTGCGTCGATTGAACTCCTTGTCCCAGGGGATCCGAAGTCTCCATGCTAAAATGCATCTAATTCGTGAGGAGTCAGATGCTTGCCTTGAGAAAGCTGGCGAAGAATCCGAGCTTAACAGCACACTCGTATTTCAGTATGAGTCAATTGGTGCTGATTTAAGGGGCTTGCTACAAGAATGGGAGGCCGGAAAATCGACATTGATGGCCAATATCGAACGCCCCGAACGGCTTTCACGTCCTCCCAGCATATTGAGGTCCCCTATATCTCCGACATTCAGCCTTAGTGGTACCACTGCCGTTGATGGGAGCCCTGCTGCTGCGCTTCGCGCGTTGAATGGGGAAGATTTGACTCTCCCGAGTCCCGACCATAATATGGAAGACGAAGAGATTTTTGAAGCTATCGCCCTTCCACGTAAACGAAGCTCGATGACGCGAGAGGAGAGAATTGCCCGTGTGAAAGAGGACCGGGCTAAACAAGCTGCTGCGAGAGAGCGGACGGATGCAAATACGCGCATGCTTCGGGAGTTGGAGACTGTCATCAAGCTTCGGCCCCGAGCCAAAGATGGGACTAGAGTGACCAGCATCTAACAGCTACTGACCTGAGATATCATTTCTCTTCATTTTTAGTATCTTGCCTTCATGCATATTGTTAACATTGTTTAATCGGCCATCTTTATATGACTATTGTGCCGGGAAATTCTTATCTCTCGTCTAATATATGTCTCAAACGATTGTGACATTTGACCCAGCCAGGACGAAGATAGGGAGGAAAGTACGGAGTAGTACGTGTCTTATTATTCCGGTGGTTGGCTCCGTTGTATATTTTATCTATTTGTAATATATCGAATAGACATCCTCTGAGATTGACTGGATTTATCTTATTTCGGTCCGGTCATTGATTATTTTTAGCAGAAGCTAAAGAGGGAGCCAAACGCCAAGTTTGGTCTCAAGTCACGCGAAAATAAATTGGATTCTCCAACGCGAACGCGCCAACAAAAACGCGCCTCATTTTAGTTTTATCTCACCACACACTCAATCCTCAAGACCTTGAAACCTCCATTCTTCACGAAAACCAAGTCATTCTCGAGCAAGAACCCAAGCTCCAATATTCTATATCCATCCTTTTATTCGCCCTTATCACCCGAATCAATCCACCGGGCAACTATTCTCTACACCGGCTAACTCCCCCACCACAACCCTTGTTTCCCAACTCCCCTCTGATTCCGTGCCATAATACTCAACCGTCAAAAGTAAGTATTGCCCCTCTATCAATTGATAGAACAAGATGCTGATGTAGCCGCCACGCATAGTGCTTGAAGCACGTTTAGAGCAAGCCAGCATGTTGAAGAGGGTACGTGATGCCAACGAAAATAGGAGTGGCCTCCACTTGCTCATTATCTTCAGGTGGTCGATGCAGTTAAAGAGCTTGTACAAGACTGCAACTTCGACTGCAGCGATACCGGCATCTCGCTCCAAGCCATGGACAACTCCCACGTAGCCCTCGTCTCCCTCAACCTCAAAGCCGAAGGCTTTTCCCCATACCGCTGCGACCGCAACATCGCCCTCGGAATCAACCTTACTTCGCTCCAAAAGGTCCTTCGTGCTGCACAAGACAATGATATCCTGACTCTCAAGGCGGAAGATTCGCCCGACGTTGTCAACTTGGTGTTCGAAAACGCGCAGTCTGATCGGTTGAGCGAGTACGACATCAAGCTTACGGACATTGATCAGGAGCATATGGCCATTCCGGAAACGGAGTACGCGGCTGTTGTGGATATGCCAGCTACAGAGTTTAGGCGGATCTGCATGGATTTAGGAAATTTGTCCGAATCCGGTATGTGCCAACACAAACTGCTCAATGTGGGGTCTTATCGATGAGCATCTATCTAATTTCTCGATTTCGCGAAATAGTCTTGATTGAAGCCAGCAAGGATGGCGTCAAGTTCTCCTGCCAGGGTGACATTGGCAACGGCGCCGTCACTCTCCGTGGGCACACTAGTGTCGACAAGCCAGAGCAAGACGTGACCATTTCCCTCACAGAGCCCGTTGCCCTTACATTCTCCGTCAAATATCTCATCAACTTTTGCAAGGCCACCAGCTTGACCAGCAAAGTGCGACTCAGTTTGTCGCAAGATGTGCCATTGTTGGTGGAGTACAGACTCGAAGCCAGTGGTAGCTTGAGATACTTCCTTGCACCCAAGGTAAGTTGCAATCTCAGTTCTGTTACCGTGATACGTGCTTGCTAACGTGAATGTGTTTACGTAGATCGGTGATGAGGAGTAGAAATAGACGAGATAAAGAAGAGGGAGTTGGAGTTAAAACAGGAGAATTCGATAATGCTACGGAATTTACGCCTTCACAACAGTTTTCAAGAGTTTGCATAATGAATAAAACTCAAGTTCTGATATTGGTTCCTGCACCTTCATGTGAGGCCAAGTTTTTGGCCAAGGCTTGGTTGATTTGCCATGCGAAATGATTTAAAACTGCTTCGAAAATCCAATTCCGAGTAGAAAGTAACCAGATTCATAGTTCATGATCAAGCTAAAGATACAGAAGAATAAACATATTTTCCCGCGACTGAAATTATATGGCCATTGTCCCATCCTTGGAAAGATATTAGGGCGGGCAAATAGGAAGGCCTCCGAGGCGGATGGCATGTCAGGTAAACCGTATTCTCAAAGAAACATCCAAAATTAGCAGTATCCCGCGGAAATCTTTCAATAACCTCAGCGAAAAGGGTATACAACTTACCGGGGGAAAAAAAGAGGTGAAGCGTCGTCCTCACCAGAGTAATCGGAATCGAATGATACCGGCTTCTCCTCTTTGAAGAAGAAAAAACACAGTACGCTGCGTATTGCACTAAAGTGTCATACTCGCAATCCCCCCTTCGAAAAAGGAAGAAAAGCGAGCACACACAATCTTCGCAACGGCTCTCCCATGGGGAAACCAGAAAAGAGGATCAGAGATCCCTTCCTGCCCCGATGTTTCTGATGCCTAGTTGCAGGCATTTTCATGCCAGGCCCTCACAGGCAGTACCGACTTTTTAAACCCCGGGGCCAACCAAAAACGAATTTTCGGCGGCGGGGGGTAAAAAGAAAAAGCGGGTTGAAGTGTGAAGATTCCTCCGAATTTCTCATTTGCATGGTGCACCAGTCTAGAGCATGCTGAAAATCAGATGATAGAACTGGAGACGGGATCGTCAAGTTCATGAGATCCGTCGTGTGTAGCAAAGAAACGCAGCTTTGGTGGGGACGACGCTTGAGAAGAAGAAGAAAGAGAGCGGGAAAGTGAGTCAGGCAATTTGTGCGTTTTTGATATGGATATTGCTGGATCCCACCGCTTTAGCTAGCTCTGACCCGTGACTTCGCCAAGCCCCCTGTTCAAGATTCACCTGAGCCTACTGTAAAGTTAAAATTCATCAATCCGGTATTCAACTGAAAATAGCCCACGGAATATTTCAAAATAATATACACCAGAGTAGGGTAGATTCCATATGTGGTGATAGAAGAAACGCATTCACCTCAATCTAAATGTTGAACAGCAGTTATACTTTTGTGATTCACCACTTTTAGATAGATTCGAATAACCGCCGAGGGAGTCTTATTCGGACGTCATATCCAGCCTGCAGCCATTCAATCGATTTTATTGTTCAGCCAGGGGTCATCTAATAACTCTTTGGCAGTTTTCCGATGTTCGGGGAGCCAGGTTAGCATGGATCGTATGAATTGCAGGAACAAATCCCTCTCCCTTCCCTCGAGTGCGGTCTCTGAATCCTCAAGTCGATACGACGGGATTTCTTCTGCTTCCTTCGGTGTCCAGTTGCCTATGATGCGAAGTTAACCATGCGTTTTTTGAGGTGCCGAAATGTGGAAGATCTCACCCTCGCTGTCAAAACAGTTGTGAGTGTCTTCACTTCTTGATATGAACACTTTTGGAGGTGGGCCCAGCACTGAAACAATCTTAGCCATGTGTTTATATGGGCAATAGACTTTACCCCGATGGATGTTAGGGAATAGACGATCTGGCTCCAATAAATCCCATATCTGCGGCGAATTAGTAGGGTACAGACCAAAATACCGCAAGCCAGGTAGCCATACTAAATTCGCAAAATTCCAGATGTCAATGCTGGGACCCCAAGTCATCCTAAAAGTCACCTCAGGTGCTCGATACACATGCGGTTGGGTGTCACCAAGGGCCTTCATTCTGTGAGTTTCTCCAATTCTAGCCTCTCCAAAGTCGCACAAGAATGGAGGGCCCCAGTTACTATCTGCCGGAGTACGTAGCGGGCGCGATGTGTAAATGGTTCGTACATCGTCAACAATCTTTCTTGGACTAGGGTCATTGACCTCAGTATTCACATAGTCATCCAGAACGGATTTGTCGGCCACGGACAACATGATATTGTCCGCTTTCAAATCTTGAGTTTTGTTAGCCCTGTTGGTCTCGAACATATAACCATGGATAGCAAACTGACCTGTATGAACGACCTTTGCTTCAGTGTGTAAAAAGTCAAGCGCATTTAATAGGTACTTCACGGTAAGTCTCAGGATATGCTTGTCGAGCCGCCGGTTGGGTAACCTCTGCATGAAGCCAAGCAAGGTAATGTGCATTGGCGGATGTACGAGACATGTGTGTTTGCCATTTGGCCCTGAGGCTTCAAAGGTATCGTACAGTGGACGAATACGATTTTGGCCTGGATGATTGGAGCGTATCTTGTTGAGGTGAGAATAGACATCAAGCTCTCGGCAAGGATTGGAAGCGTTCAGAGTGCAGACTTTCAACGTGACAAAGTCATGATCGCTAGAACAGGCTTGTTAAAATTTGGCAAATCAATGGTCAGGACGGATCTTTTTCTTCACCACAGATCTCGACATAGTCAAATTGTTGACAAATCTCCGTAGCCCAGCTTTCCGACAACTTGGTACCTTGAGTTGAAAACTTCGCCGATGTGCACCGGGTAGAATAGTTCCGGCTTATAGAAAGGCAAAGATTCCTCTTCGACCAGTTGTGCAGAACAGATGGTAGGGAAATTGGATGAGACATACTTCCGAACCGGAGAAGGTTGCCTTCGCCAAAAACGGAGTTGGCTGCGGAAAAGAAAAGTCATACGAGCAGAAATGGATAGTAGGAGTGTCGGGAGAGCTTCAAATCTGCTCGGGCAACGACCAGGTGAACAAGGCTGTTTATGATTGTCTGGATGGGCTCCAGGAGGTAATTTGATGGACTCTTTCTGGTTTTATCATCGTCCGTGATGCATCCACCACCAAGTGACAAAATAATTGTATGATAATCAGTCGCGCACAGACACACCCATTTGATTCAGAGCCTCTTCTTGCTGAGGCTGTTTCTTGTTCTGTTTGAACTCCTCTGTCTCTGAAGAACCGTCTTTGAAGTGTGAAAGCAGCTGGGATGAACTAGTTACCAGTTGTTGCTGCATTGGCTAGAATCTTGTTGAAGTAACAATTCAATTGCAGGCGGATGGGGGAGACTGGGCCCTAGACTGGGTAGCCATGCCATGCATCAGCCATTCTTGTGTTAGAATAAATCGAAGAAAAAAACATCTGCTTATCATGAACAGTGATTGCAGAGTACAAGGTATTCATGAGAAAGCTGCTGTGGATGGAATCGATTTCTGCTGGATGGCGTGGAATGATTTGTGGGCCAGGCACAGGAACCGCTGTAAGCTTCGCCCGAACCATGGTTCTCCGTGGAGCGTTTTATTCTACGGATATGCCTGTGGGAGGAATTGGTTGATGCGCCTTTGTCTCTTGAGTCTGTATCCTCTACTTCTCGGGATTAGCTGTAGCCCCATTATGCGCCGCATTGCTTCCCCGATGCATGGGTCTTGACAAAGCGGCTTCAAGAGTTTTCTCCAGCCACGCGGGTATTCAGCAGGGCATCACTACATGCCCCATGCCACATGGTTCCCTATTGTGGAGCAGCAAACCTTGACGCTTGATGAATGTGAAATGAGTCGATATCGCATGTTGTCAAGGCTCTCCAGCATCCAACAGCGCAGCCATTATTGGGCGCATTTCGTGTTCAGCCACAGCCAAGCGCGGGCGCGACAGGGGCTGGGCAGGTAGGGCTGGGGCTGTGAGGCTGCCTGAAGCGGAAAGGCGTCGACGAGGAAATGAGGTGTCAGACCCGCCGGACGCCAAGCTCGCGGACAAAACACGAACGACGCTCAACTTCAAAGCTGAGCTGCGAGACCTTCTTTCAACACCTCTCTTGCTCTTTTCCTTCACTCATTTCTCGCTGCACCTTTCCGCTCGCTTTTGCTCTTTTGGATCCTCCCATATTGTTAACACACCCCCTCCTTGGTCCTCTTTCTGTTTGCTTGCCTTACCGCCCTGCCTGCACCCCCCCGGCTCGCTCAAATTCCGACTTGTGAGACACCAACGCCTCAACCGTTCAGCCACGACGTTGTGAAAACGGTTGCATTGATTGCCGGCTGTCTCTGACCTGGAGGGACGCCTCAAGGAGGGGCACGACTCCCCATAAAGTCACTGTTTTTCCAATGTGGTACACCCCCGAGTAGCACCTAGCGCGTTTCACATCTGTATGGTCCGACCATCCGAGCAACACATCTACTTGCCGTCGACGCTCGACCTTTAAACCGCATTTCTCTCGCTGTCTTTGCAAGTTGAGGACGGAGGTGACATTGATCGCTCCATTCGGGAGCGATTCGCCAAAATTCGTTCGTACAGGAGCCAGTCGTCTCTCCTTCGAGAGCCGGGTTTCGACCCTTCCTTTCGTGATTCGACATCTGGATTTCGCCCAAGAGAAGGATATAGAGGACCCGAACATTCGGCGAAGATGTATGTCCCCAATTCAAAATGGACGTGGTCGTTTGTCGCCGTGACAACTATCCAAGCGGCAATCATCCTTGCTTTTGAATCGTGGGTGCATCCTTTCCTTCTTCGTTCTTTTACGGGTCGCAAGGTTGAACATGAAGACACTGACTATGATATAAATATGCAGATATGTATTTGCTCGATTCCAAACACAGCTCAGGGGCAACGCAGACACGCAGACCCAGTCGAAAACCATTCCCACCTTCTTAACGCTCTATATTTTCGGATTCATATATGAATTGGTTTTGGTGTATGATGCGTTACGCCTCAAAAACACTATTCAAGTGATTGGACTCTGCGTCTGTAATGTCGGCTTACTTATCTATGGTGCTGTCCAAACGGACCAGATCAAGGATGCCGTCACCAGTCTAAGTATGCAGGGCAATATCAACGGCGAGGTTTGGGGGGAGATGAAGCCATTTTTAATAGCAATCCCGTGTATCATTGGTTTCGGGACCGTTATCATGGCTTTCCTTGCCTGGAAGCTGTACGATGAATTTGCATGGACTATCTACAAGCATATCAGCGCCGATTTACGAATGAAACGTCGATACCTTACGTATCAGGTCGGTAGTCTCGCCTATTGCTACTTGCCAGCGGATCAACTGACATTTCCACGGATAGATCTATATCGCTTTGTTGAAATTCGACTTCTTCTTCTTCTTGGGTTTCACCGTTCAATTCGTTGTTATTGTTACCGAGAAGGCCACTATTGAATTCGCTTTGACATTGGCTGCAATTCCCGTTACAATCCTCATCCTCGTCATGGCTGCATTCTGGACACGCCGCGAGAATACCCCTGGAATGATTATCATCATTGTAAGTTTTCTCCATGATTATCTGTTATTTTTCGGCTCCCTCTAATTGATATATGCTTTGTAGCTGCTGTACTTCGGAGGTCTTGCATACTTCCTCTTCAAGCTAGTGCGAATGTACTCTGCAGCTCGCGAAAAGGCGTACTTGCCTGCCCGGCGGTCACTAACATTTTTCGCCGTCATCACGATTATTTTGATCATTATGACCATCATCAATGCATGTGTCTGCACTCACAACTTCAACAAGGGCCTGAAGCCTCATATCTCGGGTAAAAGACCAAGCCGCGACGAGGAAAAAAGCCATGGCACCGAGATGCATGGCCCAATGTCAAGTGGGCCTGTCCCAACCCGTATGACGATCGATTAAGAGGGAATGCGCAAGAATGATCAGAGCGGGAGACTGAGGCTCCACATCTCTGATCGTTACAATCTCGGCGGTTTTAGTTTGCGAAATATACCCATTTTACAGCGCCGAATGGCTAAAGCATTGTTTTCTCAAACCAGGGATTTTGTGATTTTGTTTCTTTTTGGCTGTTTGATCATGTTGTTCCTTTTGTTGATGATACCATCTGTGTTTTCCAGAGAATTTGTTCCAAAATAAGTCTACTACTCTCCTTAAAAATATCCGCCCTACTCTAATTTTTCTTTTGCGCGTTGAGCGTCTTGTAAAATTTCTACCTGAACCTTTGAGCGCCATGGGAGTGAGCCATTTTTAATGCGAGGAAATGGAATTTGCTCGCAGTCATACTTTCAAATAGACTAGGTAGAAATCGAATGAACCTCTTTTCCCCTGAATACCTGATCCCATTGAGGCGGTCCCGTCCGGCAGAATCCGCTTACCTAATCGTGATAAGTGTCCACATTGGAACCTTCCAACCTTTGAAGCAACCACGGTCGCTCTTTCTTGATTTTATCCATCCAAACTGTCTCGATCGCTCTTTCTTCGACTGAATTGCGTTCTTTCCCCGACCCGCTTTGTTCCCTCTCCTAAAGCGGTCTTTTAGTCAGCACTTGCAGCTACACAATGGTAAGCAGCCTCCAAACTCCATCTCCGAACCGCAACGTCTCCCCCAGACTCCATCCACCCCGTCTCCTTTTCGACCGCATAGCATCACTCAGGCAGCAATTCCCTTGATCAAGATTCAAAAGGCGTAAACATTTGGGAGAGCTATTCCACCATGGCCAAAGGACGCAAATCTAACATAAAACCTATCCTCTCCAAACCCCAGGCTTCCTCCTCTCCTCTCGCCTCAGGCGCCGAATCGGGCAATGAAGCGGCCAAATCCGCCAACCCCACTGGCGTCAGCTCGGGCAGCGCTGCCTCTCTGAATCGTCCCTCGTCGCCAACTCCTCCTGGCGGGCCGCGAACTGCCCTTCGTCGTCGCGCGGCGGCCGATCATAAGGAGACGATGCGGAATGCGAGGCCGGCCTCGACTCGGGCGGCGGGTGCGGGTGGCTCGTCGGGGACGATGTTGAAGCTGTATACGGACGAGAGCCCGGGATTGAAGGTTGATCCTGTGGTTGTGTTGGTGCTGAGTTTGGGGTTTATCTTTTCGGTTGTGGGATTGCACGGTGAGTTTTGCACCCTGAGTTATCAATTGCCTATCCGCCATATCTTTGAGTTGGACCTTTTTTATTTTTCTTCCGGCTGCCTTTTCCTCGTTAATGATTTGCTAATTTTCGTGTGAACGGATAGTTATCGCCAAAATTACCCGCAAGTTCTCCTCTTAGATTATCTACCAACTCCATTTATCGCCCTCAGTTTCCCGCTACGTTGACGATTATGCTTCCACATCAAACAAGAATATCCCTGAATCTACGAACGCTTTTCTTTCAGGCTCTGAAACATCTCGACGGATGCAATACTTCGGTGTTGTTTTAGAGTTCATTATAGGGAGTATGGCTGCTAGGAATAGCCGCCATCGGTGTATACGTGGCTGTGTAGTCCGTATCGGACTATTTCCTTTTTGAACCTGCAGCGTTCAAACTAGGAATTAGTCTTATATCCTCTGGGTAGTGCCTATCTATCCTACCTGTTTCCCTTGTGTTTGCAATTTTCGTTGCAGCACTACAATAGGGTTGTTTCGTTCATGTTTTATGTCTTAAGAGGGCGATGTTCTGTGGTTTACAGCGTATTGGACTTGTTCTTCCTCGACCTCGTTATTTCCCCCATCTTCCTTTTTACATGTAAATTAATAGTCGTTTCAAAGATGCCATCAATTCTTTATTTGGAGGTGAATTCGGTTGCAAGCTGCATGCAGTTGCCTTAGCTGTTTACATGCCATGGATCATACTTGAATAATTGAGAGTGAACTGTGATAACTCCAAGCTTACCTTGTATGTTTGAAAATGAGCAGGAAAGCGATGGTCTGTCAAGTACAGCACAAGCCCCGGAGAACTGAGTGCGATTCTTAACAAATATCAGGTTATATCAGTCAATAGTAGTATTGAAATCTAGTCACTAATGTCGTACGCTTCATTTGCCGATTAAGCCGCCCCTCTATACAGCTTGATAGAGGACATTTTTTAAAGCCGATTCACTTCATTACTCCTCATCATCCACGGGATTAACATGAAACTTCTTCCTCCCCGAGCCCACGAGCTGCTTAAGCTTAACTCTATTGGCCTGAGCATCCATTTTCTTCTCAATCTTCTGAATCTCCTCCTCCCGCATCAACAGCCTCCTCAGCAGCAAACTCCCAGCACCAGCCTTCTCCCCAGAAGGTGGGTATTGCGAAGCGCATCCATCGCGTTTTCCGCCTCGCGAGCACTGACGAAATCGGCGAACGCGAAGCCACGGGCAGTGCGGTCAAATTTCTTGGGCACGCGAAGGGACCGGAGTTGGCCGTATGCACCGAAAAGAGACTGAATGTCCTTCTTGGTGGCTTGGAAAGGCAAGTTTTTGATGATGATCTTGGTCCTGCGAGCGGCGTTTTTCTTCGCCGTGTCCTCGCGTCTTTGTTGCTCTGCGGCATCCATTCCTTTATGGGATGGTTTGATGACCAATTCGTGCTGGTCAAGTTTATAACCGTTCATTGCGGCAAGAGCAGCTTGAGCTTGGGCTTTGGTTTTGAATTCCACAAAGCCAAATCCCATACTCAGCCTCTCGCCTGGTTTCTTCGGATCAGGTTTGGTTTTGACCTGGGCGGACAAGAAGCCATCAAGAGGTTTGAACAGGTCTGTTAAGCCAACAGTAGTTGTTGAGAAATTCAAATTTCGGACATACAATGTCGAACTCTCCACCCCAGCCTCCTGTTCACCAGCCTTGAACGTTTCTGAAGTCGAGAAGGTGGGGCCTACAACTCGTTGAGGTTGAACAGTGACTGGAGCCATGGGTTTTCCTTCAAATAGGTCCTTAGGAGCTTTTTCCAAAAACAATATGGAGTCTCCCAGTTTCCTGTATGCAAGACCTCTAAATGCCTTCTGACATTCGTCCGGCATGCTAAACTCAACGATAGCAATGGTACCGGTAGGTGGCATAAGTAATCTTATGATCTGCCCATACGGATCAAATAATTTCTTAAGGTCCTCGGCTTTCACGCCGAACGAGAAGTTTTTCACGAGAATCGCTGTGTTTCCGCGCTCACGTTGTTTAAACGAATCCAGATTTACGCCATTGGCGCTGAAATATGCTTTTGTCTCTTGAATTACATGCGTTTCGGCATGAGCCTGTTTTACTGCAGCATCTGACGAAGTCGGATCCAATATCGCAGATTTCGGTACGCCTAGCCGCTCTGCCACAGACGTCATCACAGCGTCCGCCTAAATGGTGTTAGAAATCCCAGGTAAACTATAGAATAGTGCAAAACATACATTCATGTAAAGGGAATTCCAACTGAATGTGGAAGACGCTGCTTCGGCCTTTCGTTTGATCTGCTGCTGCTTCTTCAAGGGTAACTTCGACAACTCGTATTCGTTTATCTTATATGTCTTTTTCGAAGAGGCAGGAAGTATATGCATTAGACGTCCCTGAAAATCTCTCCCATCTAGCTCTTTATATGCTTCGATGGCTGAATCAGGATCGACGAACTGTGCATACGCAAATCCTTTGCTTGTCGAATGTCGAGTGTCGAATGCAACGTGTAGCTATGTTCAATCAGCAACTTGGTTTCCCATAGAATGATACTGTTATAGAGATAGGTGGAAGTCGTCATTCAGGTACAGAGGCATCTACTAAAATACTCTTTCCTAGGTTCACATCATGTGCGTAGCATCTGATGTCCCTATCAGGGTATTCATCATGTGACGGGCAGCATAAATAGTTTCAAAAGAGCGTGAGAGTAAAAAAGGCGGTCTTACCTCTTCTATTTTCCCAAAGCGAGTGAACAAGCTCCGAAGATCCTCCTCGGTGGTATTGTAGGGTAAGTTGCGTAGAAACAAGCGGCCGGTCTCACGAATCAAGTGTAGATTCGGATCGTCGACCTCCTGAACGCTAGGTGAATTTTGGTCCTCTGCTTGAACGGGGGGATCTGGCTGACGCGATATAGGTTCAGGTTGAGCGTCGGCAGGAGGGGATGTTGGAGAATCTGCCGGAGCCTTAGTGTGATCTATATCTTCTTCATCGTCAAGCAGACCCAACAAACGGCTCGTTCTCGACCTAAGCCAGTCAGCATCGCTTTGAGGTGCAGCCTCCGAATCTTCCGCATCTTCCGCATCTTCCGCATCGACTTGAGCCTTATGATTTAGTTCTGCAGGGTTTGGTTCAGTAGTTGAAGGCACTAGATTTCTGGGCGCCTCCTTGGGCAGTTCAACTTCCAACGGCCCCTTAGTCCTTTTGTTGGGCACGTTTATGGAACTGTCAACGTCCTGGGACTTATTGTTACGGGCCGCTAGGCCAATAGTTAGGTCTGTTCCAGTGTCTGCCCAGGTTTTTGATTTTCTTGAAGCCTGCATGGCGTTGAGATACTCTTCAAGCTTTGGGTCATCCTCCCCAGTATCCCGTTTCCGTTTTAAAGAATCAGATTGTGGGTTGGGATCAGCACCATTCGCAGAAGCTTTCCCAGGTTTCTGCTTCAGTTTCACTTCGGGAGCAGCATCTACCTTGGAGTTGGGTTAGCTTTATGTAACTTTCGACCGTCAGCTCCATTTACGGTCACAGTTGAGAGTAGAGGAGGTTGATTTGGGGGGTTCCGGGGACTTACAGGTCTAGCCATTTCTACTGCAATCTTCGACATTTTGATAAATGTCTTGTTGAAGTAGTTCACTGCATTTTGGGCAGAGTTGTGGTCCTTGAATCCCACAAACCCAATGCGTCGATTGGGAATGATATGCGCATCTGTGACTTCGAAGCGGCCGGCAAAATGCTTTCGAAGACCATCATTATTGAGTGTAGGTGGTAGACCTGACACGAACACTCTTGTGCTTTCCATTGTGTGGAATGAGTGGCTCTGTTTGAGAAGTGGAAGGTTGCTCTTGTGTGAAGAAGAAAACTTTTTCAGCCCAGAGGAGAGCTGGTCCGTGCGTGGCAAGCTCTCCTCAACTTAATTCCTCCGCAGTTTGGCAGTTGACCGGGAGTCAACATGAGCCCATCGTGAACTGCTTACCGTCACACTTTGATAACATTGCCTATCCACGCCGAGCCTCTATCCCTTCCGGAACACTGCAGAACAAGCCCAAAGAGGATATTGCCTGTTGACTATAAAAATGGCTGCAGAAAAGCGAGAGAAGCTTGAAGGTGACCACAACAAACACCCCACCAGCTGCTGTCATCACGGAGGCTTTCAGTGCCATGGCTAACCCGGTCTATTATGCTTATGAAGCTCAAATCAAGTCCGCTGATATGGTGAGAGAATGCGGTTCTGGCTCCCCACATACCACGTAAAACACCTTCGCTGATACTGGGACGCGACACAGAGCGAGGACATGCAGCAGGAAGCCATCGAAGTTGGTACGGTTGCCCAATTTATACCCTAGCACTTAAAACGTACAGACACGCTGACGCATTGATGACCATTATAGCGACTGAGGCGATGGAGAAGTTCCAAATTGAAAAGGTATGGCGTTTTCTGAGACGTCAAGAATGCGACGCGCGGGGTAGACTGACATGTGCCCTAGGATATCGCCCAGTATATCAAGAAAGAAGTACTACGACTCTACATCCCTTTGCATCGGATAGCAGTACTAACCGTACATTAGTTCGACTCGCGCAAAGGTGCGACCTGGCATTGCATTGTTGGGAGGAACTTTGGGAGTTTCGTCACGCACGGTTCGTACTACTCGCCTGTCCCAGTTTGCTATAATAGCTGATCAAAGAGATAGAAACAAAGCATTTCATCTACTTTTACTTGGGCCACTGTGCAATCCTGTTGTTCAAGACCCAGTGAATACTCTGTTGTCCCGTTCTTACTGCCGTCCCTCGATGCTATAGTGCAAGCGATTCACACTAATTTGGTGGAAAATACAAGATGGCGTGGACAATGATGATGACTTTCCTTCTCTATCAATTTCGAAGCGCAGTTTGATACAAAGTTCTTCCAGCCGCGTTAAGCAACTGAAGATCCCAGCTCGTCCTCCACGTCGACAACTTCGAGTCGTTTCCCTTATGGGTGGCGTTGAATGGGTTGGGTTTCTGCTCTCGATTCCAGTTTTACTTCGATTCCTGTATCATTTTGAAACTTTTTGATCATCTAACTATTACTACGCTTTACGTTCTGATCTGATGACCTAAGATTCAACCTGCCGGAGCGACTGTTTGCAGAAGTGAAGCAAGAATAAAGCTCGTTGACAGGACGCTGGGAAAAAGTAATATAGTTGTTTTAGGACAGAACATAGCACGCAATTTATATTGAAGTATTTATTCAGTCTACTCCAACCAGGGCACCTCGAAGGGCTTTTCGATTATACAAAGACTTTTCTTATTGTTGTCAGTAAGCAACTCATCCTCTGTTATCTACTATTGAACAGGGCCCCTCAAGACCCCTGGACATAGCTGCTCCAAGGGTATCCATTCTCTCCTATCTTTATCCCGGTCAGTTGGACACAACTTCATTAAATACTGGGGCACCACTCGAAAGAGCTTCTGTTCCAGTTTGCATAGCCGTTCGGCCTACGATGTATGAAAGTCCATTTCCATTGTGCCTCTATAAATTAATGGATACTACCCCCCCGAGTCAATCGTATAGGAGCTAATTGTACCGTTTTCGGGATGGCTGCGTCGAATATCCTAATTTAAATGACCAAGAAGGCGTGATTTACTCCCTTCGCATTCGGGTGGTGTTATAAATTTCAGAAAAGCGGTCCCTTCAGTTTTTCTGGCCCAACCCTCTCATCAGCCATGGGTCAAATAGAAGTTCCGTAGTAGTTGCTCTCTCCTCTGGGATCCAGCACAGTATACGCCTAAACCACCGAAAAACTCGTCTCTGTCCTCTCCAGTGATGCCCTCACCGAGGCCTTCTAGAGTGATCTCAGGTAGCGGTACGACACCTTTCCAACTTCCTAATTATGTCGTGGTTAGCAAGGCACTCGCAAAAGTGTAGGGTGCTATGATATGAATAAAGTACCGTCGTCATTCCAAACAGCGCGAGACATCCCAGATCTCTTAATGAGCTCTGCTGGTGGAGGACCCATAATCGCTGTCATTTCCGCAAGATGAACTCTATCATCTTGAAAAGTATTATCAGGGCTCCGACCATTGAACAACGGGGACCCGGTCACCATATGCCAGACCTAATGGAGGTCAGTGAGTATACACCAGTCAAACAAGCACAGTACAAGCACCCACCATCATACCAAAGCTCCAAACATCGACTTTGTAGTCCCACTTCATATGCAAAATAACCTCGGGCGCTTTGTAAATATCTGGCATGATATCTTCCCCGGGAGTCCCTCCTCAACAAGTCTAGCCTCCCCAAAATCACACAGAAAAGGCAAGGCATTGGTAGGGGTTAGGCGCTGTGTTCCATATATAATGCGGTCTATGAGGATTTTGCGCGGAGCAGGACGCGAGAACTCATCATCTACTAGTTTTCTAAAGATTGCAGGATCATTAACTCCAAGAAGGAAGTTTTTGGCCTGCAAGTCTATCAAGAGGTTGTCAGCATGTCACTTTTTGCTCCCTATGTAAAGTATGGTCATACCCGTGTGTATAATCCCAGCTTGTATATTGAGAAAATCCAGTGTAGCTATAATTTGGCGTAAGGAATTCTTCAAACTATCGAGATTTGCCCTCCGTCCAGGGAGGTAGTCTTGGACCTGATCAAGATTTAACCCAAGAGGCTCATGAATGAGGACAAAATGGTTTGCATGAGGCCCTGTTATTTGAAATGATCCTAGAAGCTTACGAATGAATCTTTTTCCTGGGTGATCGGTGTTGACCATATCTAGCCGCTCGTATACTTTCAGCTCATGGTCTCTCCTCGGACCTGAGACGAAAACTTTGAGCGTGACATAGGTGTCCTCCCTGCATAGAGCGTCAGACATGAGCAATTCTCGAATTTGAAAGAACATGGAGAATACTCACTGAAGGTCGTGGCTAAGCCAAACAGTGGAGGTCGTGCCATAGCCCAACTTTCCAACAACTTGGTATCTGCCATGAAGTATCTCACCCAAGCGGACTGGATAGAACTTTTCGGGGCGATAACCGAGAAGCAATTCCTCTTCACAGAACAATGATGGGTCAATGACTTCAAAGCCAGAAGCCGGGAGACTGCGCGGCTGAACCGACCAAGCTGCAGCAATTTGAGAGAGATTAGTTGATAAGGCTCGAGAATGTGGACGGACGCGTCGGGCGAAACTTGAGATCAGATGAAAGCTGCTGAAGGGTTTGCAGTGAAGAATGTTCCTCCAAGCAATAGACATTGTCATTTACTGCATAAACAGTCAGATTCTTGAACCCCAAGTGGTAACAAGTGCGTGGTGAAAAATCGGTGCATCGCTCCCTGTGTGAAGGCTACTTGAGGGAGTAGGCTAAAAACTTTTCAAGGGCATGGGCTCACTTTCGTCTCACTCCATGTGGAAGAAGCACCGTTTTATAGAGTAGTCTTCGCAGAGAACAAGAAGATCGAGTTAGACATATCTTTCACACAACATCTTAACATTTAACGGACCTGGAGCATCGAGTGTTTTTGGGGAAAAGTCATTTACATCTGCAAGTGCGAGGCAATTCCTCAGTATGGAGGCGAATGGGCGTTTTTATTTTGTAAGTACTCTCGCCAGCTCCTAAATGACTTGTTTCTGTAAAACGGGGAGATTGGCATTGCAATGAATAGATGCCAATATTTTCACCATCCATCTTTTAGTCATGTCTCAAGGATATTAAAAAGATGATCAAAATTCTATATCAGAGGTGTAGTAGCAAATCCTCGGTGCCACTGCACTAATCACCAATGCTTTGTAGGTACCCATTCTGGCACGAAAATAGTACATTCATCATGGCCGCAAACCATACTTGCGGATTGTAGGTAGCATTAGATTGATTCGTCTTTTGTGCAAGGAATTATTCGCGGAGATCGCAAACCACAACATAAGAGGATATCGTGAAAAAGGAGAACCTGACCCAAAGGCTACGCAACGCCATCCCCAAAGTAAAATAATGCCTCCTACCGACAAGGTTTTGTACAGTAAGAAATATCAAAGGCTCCAATGTAATAAACCGAAGACAAGGCGTGCTTGTCCTCAGCTATTACTTATAGCCGTAGCTCCCTCCCGGTGGAGGTTGCCCAGGTGCATGGGGAGCGCCTGGAACGACTGGTGGCGGACCTTGACCGCCTTCTAGATGCTGCGATTGAACATCCGGACGAAATCTAGTACCATGTAAGCTTCTCAAGCGATTCGTGCTGCTCCTGCGCAGGGCGATCCGGTTACATACTTAATGTCCTGTGCAAAGCGGCAAATGTGACAGTACACCTCCTGCGATGAGAGAGCGGGTTAGCCCGTATCGCTAGGTCCATGAACGGAAGCCCTACCTTGTATTTATGTACGGCTAGTGGAATGAGAGGCTATGTTGAAAGTGGAAGTTAACACTGGAAAATAAAGGAAAGGGTAATAAGTGGCGCATACGACAAAGCAGACTGTAAACCAAGGCCTGTGTCCGTTAGTTATCGATCAATCTCTGTGAAACAGAAGAATCAACAGAAACAGTCTTTCTCGACTTACCACCGGGTTATACAGTGAGCGCTCCAATTTCCACCTAGCATGAGCGTTGTTAGCTGCAGGTCCAGACAGAGCACTGCGGCAAGATTTCCCTACAGTTATGGCATTGCGCGGTTATATTCTCGTATCCTTGAAGTCGCGACGTAAATTCTAACCATTTATTAGCTATCTGAAGCTGAAGTTCGCAACGTCAACACAACGCAGCTGTGGGACTCGAGGTGCGTTACCATGCGTTCCGAAGGTGATGCAAATCGCCATTTTCGACGGCTTTACGATTAGGAATTAGCTGTGAGAAATGAAGCGGGCAATAGGTGTAGCGTTGGAAAGTGCAATGAATCAAGTGAGATCCCAAAGCCGAGTTTGTAGCGACAGGTGGTGTTGACTAGAATCAATCATGACGAGCGCATGTCCACAAGCTGGCCGCGAGGGATAAATTAAGCTTACGTCGGCGCAGTTGATCTCCCTCGGTGACAAGCCACTTCCGCCACAGTGATTGACAGTGTGTGGCAGTGCACATGCCAAGAGCTGCACGTGCTCAATCTCTATTTTCGACTTTTTGGTCATCATCACAGCATCAACACATCTGATGAGCTGGTGACGGAATGATGATATTTCTCTTGAAGGAATCTAGACCTGAGACAATGCAGTCCACATCATTACCAGTGCTCGCTGCTGCCGCAAATATTACGCGAAGATGTCCCAAGAGCGATTCCTGTCCCAAGCGAGATATCCCCTACTCACTTGTTCCAAAGCTAGTGTTAGGCCTTTCTTCATAGCACGAAAAGAGGTATTAATATTATCGGAGAAAAGTAATCAGACGTCGCCCTCCATTGTCTCGTTTCTGAACTTGTTCAACTGCTCATGCGCCAACGTCATTCCTGTGGGTGCTGTCGTTTCAGGGTTCCCAATATCATCCATTCTCTGCTCAGAATTCCATCCTTGTGTGGACACTGTCACCAGAGAACTCCGCTGTGATGTCATTATTTCTGTTCGAAATGAGAGAGGCAGCGGTTTTTAACTTCCATCAATCGTGGGTTGAGGAGTAGGCGTTTAGCTGTCAGCTCTGAGGGCCGTGGCAGTCTTGCTAGACCAATCTCAAAGACAGGCATGTACGTGCTTAGAACATCAGATCGCGTTCATAGCCGCCCTCGTCGCAAAACTTTTGCCGAATCGCAGGACCCGCTGACTGGAAGCTAGTGGGGCTCTTCAATCGGTGGAACATGGTAAAGCCAATTCGCATGACCTGCATACATATAAGAGGCAGAAAACGTTCCCAAGTCGAGTGGGTAGAATCGCGATTCTCGCTATCCCGCTTGCATATTTGACTTCATTTTGTTATAGCTCTCCGTAATATCAGTTACTGGCATGAAAAAGATAGTTTCTGAGTTGTGAACGAACCTGTCAAGAATGAAAACCCCAAGTATCAAGCTAAATAGGCGGCTATGAAATGCTCATTGTAGGGCTTTGGGCCCTTTGGAAAGTCAACAATGATACCTGGCGCTCGACCCAGTCTAACATGGCGATCAAAAACAGGATATCGCTGCTTCGATGGTGCCTGTGGTGCGTATATATTTGCCATTCACCATCTTCTTTTTATTTACTGTTTGCCTTTACAGTATGGTGCTAGTCTTTCAAATTTTCTGCGTTTGCATATATGTACGAATGGGAGCCAAAAATTAGCCCCTGGTTCTATAGCCTTTATACCTCGCTGGTTCTAACATATCTGATACAGATTACGGTAACGAGGTTGAGGCAGGTCAGGGTGTAGCTCGAGCGATTAAAGATGGCCTGGTCAAAAGAGAGGATCTCTTCCTAGTCTCCAAGCTGTGGAACACCTTCCACGACCCCGAACACGTCGAACCAATTTGCAAGAAGCAGCTAGCGGACTGGGGAATCGAATATTTCGACCTTTACCTGATTCATTTCCCAATCGCGCTGAAATATGTTGACCCGTCCGTTCGTTATCCGCCTGGTTTCACCTATGAAGGGAACAAACTCGTTCTGAGCAACGCGTCTACCCAGCAGACCTGGTCAGCGATGGAAACCCTTGTCGACAAAAAGCTCGTTCGTAGCATTGGAATCAGCAATTTCAACGTTCAGCACATCATGGATCTCCTCCGCTACGCACGCATCCCGCCTGCGACGCTGCAGATCGAACATCACCCGTACCTCACCCAGCCAGATCTGGTCAGGTATGCCCAAAAATCAGGCATCGCGGTGACCGCTTATTCTTCGTTCGGGCCTCAGGGCTTCATTGAGTTGGACCTGGAAGCTGCCAAGGGAGTCCCTGTCCTGATGGAGCACCCTGATATAAAATCTATCGCTGAGAAGCACGAAAAGACTCCTGCGCAGGTCTTGCTGCGCTGGGCTACTCAGCGCGGAATTGCTGTTATCCCAAAGAGCAATAATCCCATGCGATTGGCGCTGAACCTGGATGTTAATAGATTTGATTTGACGGAGGATGAAATCAAGGCCATTAGCGGTTTGAATAGGGGTTTGAGGTTTAACAATCCTACAAGCGTGAGTGCTTTCTGTTCTCATTTGGCGTCTTGCAAATCAATAGTTGCTGACATATTTCACTTTGGGCGCTTCCTACAGTATGGCTTTGATCTTCCGATATTCGCATAAAGAGCCTGGGTTTTGACCTTCAAGAATACCCAGGCTTGTAGGTGCTGTCATCACTACCATTCCCATCTTAGGACGCCGCCGTCCTTGAGCCCTTGAATGATATTTGGTTCATCAACGGTCTAGAGTATTCTGCTGTTGAATTGGACAAAGTGACTTTTGGAGTGAGAAAGAGTGGCTACGGAGTAGAATTATAAAAAAAAGTTTTATAGCATGTGTGCATCTCAACTGCAACCTTAGATAAAGGATTAAGAGAAAATTTCGACTACTCCAAACTTTCGTACATATACAGGTCCGTTTCGCGAAGGTTGAATGGATATATTTTATTGCTATTAGTCGCAACCACATTCTCGAGAGAATCAGACTCAAGCCTCCCAGGAGCTCAATAAAGCGAGTACGCCGGCTCAAGTCACTCTCAGGCAACGCTCCATTCTACGCGTTCTATTGTGATGCCGGTAAATCCTCGGAAACCAGCAATCTGTGCCATGCTAGAGACGGCAGCCACAATGCGGGCAGCTTTTGCAAGCTTTCCGCAAACTGAGATTTCAGATTTGCATGCTTCGTGATTCCACGTTCTCCGTAAAGTTCACAGTGGATGATCAAGATAACCATGCAACTCCCGCCTTGTCTCAAAAACACGGCGCTGGGGGTTTCGGGTTCCCGCAAGCGTGGATAGCGGTGTGGTTTGAATGCTTTACACTCGCCGTAGGCAAGCGGCCATGCTCAATCGCCCATTTTCTTTCCTTGCGAATTCAATCGCTCAGCAGCTTCTTCCTGTTTCTTTGATGTAAACTGGCCCCAGGACTTCGGCTTCGGTTCATGGCTTTCCGAAAAGTCTCCCGCTACCTGCTCAACATCTCCTGCTTCAGTATTTCTCGTGCCCTTTGCACTCGCAGCTTCTTTCGTTTCTCTCCCTTTCATCTTCCACCCTCCCCCTCCCGCTTCCTCCTCACCCGCATTCTGAAGGCCGTTTTTCCATAAATCATGCAAGGACATAGCCCCATTCTTCTCCGACTCGCGTAGCCAAATATTCTGGATCCGTGCCGGTACATGGTTCTTCCTCCGCGCAAAGCAATCCGCATACTGCGCCATAGGGACTGATTCCGGGCCCTTTGACTGAGTCAGATCTTGAACTTCAAACCAGGTCTTGGAAAGGTGGAATTGGCGGTTGTATGGGTTTTGGCTGACGATGAAGGTGTGATCATATTGTGTGTGATTGATGGTGCAGGTTATGTGCGGCGTAGAAGGTGCTGTCGTAGATTCTTCGGAGTCGCGCGCCTGAATGATCGGCAGTGGATTATCCGGCGACTCGATCGATTCGGGGATCGAAACGGTGATGGGAGAGGCATTGACAGCAGTGGTCGCTGCGTGGGTAGTTTCGAATATGGCTAACGCGCTGCGCCCGGTGTTGAAAGCTTTGGGTCTATAATCGTACTTTTGTACAGCTTGTCAGCCAGGACAACGCGTGAGTTTCCAGCGCGGTAAAAGCTGGAGTCCGGAAGATACCTAGTAATCAAAAGAGACAGAAATACCTTTAATTCCAAAGGTAGCAACTTCTCCATACTGTTGCAAGGCTTTGAGCACCATTCGGCTTTGCGCAAGATTTCGCGGAGCAGGAATCATCGTAAGATGCACTTGTCGCTGGAGAAGCGTTGAACGAAGAGCTGACGCCATATCTGCAAGTTATTAGCCGACTGCTCGCGACAGCTTGCGGCTAGTCAAGCTATTTGAGGAATGAATAGGAACGAGTCGAACGATTCGAGATCTCTACTCCGTATAATTCATCAAACCGATGTCGTTAAGGTTTCGGGATATCACGTGAAGATTTCAAGGTCTCACTCCGCCAACTTAGTCATGAACTCCGGGGCCCGAGATATGATGCGCTCAACAAGTTGGCTCAGTACGATCCCTGGTGTCAATTGGCAATCATAAAACCCCGGGAAGCCCTCAAATGATGCTAGAGTTAATCAATACGGAGTAAAGCTATAGCTCGAGAGACAATCTAATGTTACACCGCAGAGCACCTAAATTTACTTTCTATCACGTCGTTACCCGATGCCCTCCACCGCAGACCCTTTTCAGGGTCCCGTACCGCTCTAGTTAGGATACTCGAACGTACGCTACACAGGAATGAGTAAATCCATCCAATCAACGACAAGACGCCCAAGGAAAACGCAGTTAAAAGGAAGTCTAAAACTCACTTGCATCGATTTGCTGGATATGCGGTAGCGCCAATCTCACTTTATTCCGATATAAAGCCGGAGCCTTTAATTGAAGCGGATTTCCTTCAAAATAAACCGTTTTCAACTCTTCTTTGTCTCGCAGCTCACGTTCTACCTCTTCAAAGCTCGAGAGTTTGTTATTCGATGCCCAAACTTCCTCAATGTGTGTGAGGTGAGAAATGTTTTCAAGTTTAGAGATCTGATTATTTGAGATATCAAGAACGTGGAGATTTGCGAGAGACTCGAGGCCGGAAATATGGGTAATTGCATTATGTGAAACGTAGAGTTCCTCGAGGTTTGTGAGCCCTGAAAGCCCTGAGAGACTGGTAAGTCGATTCGAGGGGAGAGAGAGGATTTTCAAGTTAGAGAGATGAGAGATGTTCTGAGTAGCGGTTAGCCTTTATGCGTTATTTATATAGAACGAATGCCTGTACTTTGATTTCGGTAAGTTTGTTTTTCCCAAGCCATAGTTCTTCCAAAGATGGTAAGTCGTCTAGGTTTTCAATTTCCTGGCCATCAAATAATAGCTATTAGCCTCCGAGGGTTGGTCAATATCTTGCTCGGACAGCCACAAACCCGTATTCGATTCGCCCCGAGCTCTAAATTCCTCAGCTTGGCCAGCCCTTCCAGCCCTTCAATCCTCTGTATTCGATTCTGCACAAAATACAGGTCTGTCAAATTGACCAACGTCGATATGTTTTTGATATGCTTGATATTATTAAAGCTCAGATCTAAGCTGGTGAGGTTGGTGAGCTGGTCTAACCCTTTGATATGCGATATCAGGTTGTCGTATAGATCAAGCTCTTTTAGGGTAGGATTGAGATTCTCTGGAAAGGATAAGCGGGAGATCTGGTTTTGGCGAAGGCATAATCTCTAGAAAACAAAGTATGAGCGGGCGAAAGGACATCAGCTAGGTGCAACAGGTACGAAGGGCAGATACCTCAAGATGAGTAAACCGTTCCAATCGTAGTGCTCGTAGGGATTTAATCCGGGAGTGAACGAGGTCGATATCCTACTCCGCTTATACTCCGTAGTCAGAAGGGTAGTGCCATCAATGTAATAACTTGAACAGAACGTCGACGCCAGAACAGCCCCCACCAGAAAGAAGGGTAGCTTTCGTACATCAATATTGTCTTCGACACCTTCCAACAAATCTTCCAGCAGACATCAGTCAGCACTTCCTCTCGTCCATCTCCCAACAGCTCAAGAGTTTATCGGGAGGGGAAAGTAGAAAGTTCGCCAGCATACCTTCATCAGCCTCGATTTCTTCCGCGGGAGGTGCGTCCTCGTCTGAGTATTCCGGATCTTCAAGTGCCTCCGGATTTGTGAGCACTGCATGGCGCTCAACGCGCAATTTGCCATCCCAGCCTTTGCTGTCTTTCATCTTGCCTGCGTACCGCTTCTGTTTGGTCCTGTGCTTGAGGTGAGGGGCGCAAGCGGGGTAGGTAACGGGGTAATAGGAGAATGTGCTTCTAGTTACAAGGGGCTCTGGAGCTTTTAAATGGAAGTCATAATAGGGCACTGTGACAATGAGCTCGGGTTCGATTGTGAGTGATGAATGAATGTAGTCTTTAGGTTTAACGGGAGCTTGGAACCTTCTTGCATCGCCAACGCGCCCAAAGCCGTTTGGAAGTCAACGACCGCTAAAATGGACCACGGTACTCGTTGCTTTAAAATGACGTGGTTCTAGGAGCCACTTTTGAAAGGAATTATTATCTGAAGAAGAATTGAATCCTTTTTGGCAAAAAGTGTTATTTTACAAGTGATAAATTTATAGCACGGAATTGTTGGGTGAATCAGGATATTAGCACGATTTTTCTACAAATACATTGGGTATCGGTTTATACCGCAAATGCGTCGCTGAGAATATGCCTATCAATCGGGGGAATGTGTCGTCTGGGCAACCGGGGTAAAATTGAAGGGGCGAAGCAGGGAGGAAGACAACAAGGAAACATCCAGTGTATTAAGGTACGGAATCCAGCTTCCGTATTTTGCGTCTAGATAACATCTAGAAGTTGACGCTCGGGTGCAGGTTAATCCTAGAAAAGTAAGGGGTTTTGGGGGAAATATGAAGTAATCACAAGTTTTGGGGGTTGAAACACGACGGTAATAATATTCAACCATGAGGCTGGAGGGGCAAGGTCGGGGATATATCAGCTAAGACATGGGGAATCAATATGGGTATGATATTAGGAAACAAGGAAACGAATATGATGAAGGGGATATATTAGCAAGGATAGTGTTGAAGTGCATCGAAATCAGGGGGAAGGACTATTTTACCCATGGCGTGAACAGGTGAAAATGAACGCCTGATGGATGCACAAAGGAAATAATCAGAAACGAATGCTCGCTAGGAGAGTGGGTTAAGGGCAATAGGAAGGAGAAGTCCAGCAATCACCACTAGGGAAGTTAAGCAAATTGATATTTTGACCTCACAATGCTTTTGCACTCCATACCAGTAAGAGGTCGGCCGCCAAGCTAGCAATTCAACTGGTTGACTCCGGAGGCACAGCCAACAGGCGGAGAAGATAAAACGTTTAACAAACAGCCTAAGTGGCTAGGCGCGACCCATATGGTTTTCGAGGACGAAGACCAACTCGACTCACTGGTATGTTACGGACGGAAACCAAATGGAATATCGTAGTTTCAAGGCGTCAAAGAGCGACATCCAAGACCAAGCTCACGTCATGTACTTGGCAACCAGCGAGATCCTCAAGGACAGGAATAAGGTCGAGAAGCTCATTATCATGGGCATCCGAAAACCAACTACTAATGGGAATAGCATGTTGGGGGTGGAAAATGTACGACGTCGGGGAGTTATCGATAATAATAGTATCCTTAAGGTTGCGGCCGACTTGAGAAAGATCCTATGAGCGGGTTAGATAACGTATATTTGCTTCTCCCGACCAGGAAGCTTACCTTGACGTAGTTTCCCTGATGGTTGTAGCAACTATCTCGGAATAGGCGGTGGTGAACGACTCTATGGATATCGAGCTGGTCCAGTAGAGGGTCTCCGTACTATGGAAAAATTAGTCTCAATATTCTACAATGACAGTCCAATAGAACCAAGCACAAACCTTTGACACAGAGGCAGTGAACACGACGACTTCGTATAATTCTCCTACCCGTTTCATGAATTGGTCGACTCCGGGACGTTTGATGACGTATATATTGTGATATTGGCCTTCGATTTCCACTGGAATCGTAAAATCCGCTTTGTCCAGAATCTAGATATAGTTAGCAAAAAGACTCTCCAATACGTGGTTGATGTACCCGACCTTGAAGCTGCTATGGACGAGTGTTTCATCAAGATCAAGAACAAGGCATTTTCTGTCCTTCAGATGGGGCTCTATAGGAGGAAGCAGGAACTGCGCTTTCTCGAGCGGCACAGGTGGAACAGGAGGAGCTTGCGTATCGGGTGCATGTGTAGTACGGTCCGCTGGGGGAGGTGGCGGCGGAGGGAAATCAGGCTGTCGTTCTACTGCTTGAATTGGCGCCGCTGTAGCGGTCTCATCTTCCGGTCCGTGGGTCGGTGAAGTGCTGCAGGATTCAAATTCGCTTTTCTCTTCTCCTCTCGGGGATTTTGGAGATGGTAACTGCTCCTCATTTGGGGGTGGCATTTCGCGCACAACAGTCCTTTCAGGCTCATCTGCAGGCGCGCTCTGCGCAGGCTCATCTTGCGGTGGCGTAGTAGACTGGGGCGAAGTATACGGTGTATTTGGACTGGCGGATAACTTTGGCGCTAGTTTATCAGCGTCTCGCTCTGTTGGCTCTCCTGCTGCTACTTTGAGTTCAGGGTCTAGCCTTGACGATCGCGGCTCAGGGTTCGCTTTGAGAGTCGCTTTTTCATCAAACGGAAGGGGGTCTTTGGAGTCGGCCATGCTCGAGTCGGCAGCGCTAGGTTCAGGTTTCTCCACGGCTGTAGCTTGCCTTTCTTGGGTCACTTGGGCCTTCGTTGCTCGCTTCGGGGGAAGAGTGGGTTCGTCGCTATCATCGTTTGGAGAGCTGCAGCAATTCAAGAAGGCGAACAATTTAGAATGACCTTTTGGTTTCCTTTCGGGGCTGGAATTGTCCTCCATGTTTGTGGCCGCAGGTTTGGCCGTGGATGTTCCCTCTTCTTGGGGGTGATCACGACGCGATCGCCGACTGCTGGCCTTACTACCCTCTCGCTTCTTTTTCGTAAGGTTGGTTCGAGAACTTCGGGGTGTTTCCTCTGCATCGTCTGCAGACGGGTTCCCCGAACCAGTGGCTGTTTCCTTTTGTTGTCGATGAAACGAAATCAGGGAAGGGATACGGGGTAAGGACCGCTTCTTTTTCGGCCGGTCTGCGACGTTCGTGCTCGACGAAGGTTGGGCTGGAGCATCGTCCGCTCGATGGCTTTGTGAATTCCCGGCTGCATCGTTACCTGACGAAGAGGAGGCAGGAACTAGTTGTAATCAACGAGGTCAGTACCGGAGATTAAGTTTGAATCGGGGCCATCTGCAATCGTTACATACAGGCTGACAGGTTCGTCATGGGTGTGGTGGGTGAAGCGAAAGCCGACGAAAGTGACTGTAGCGCCTAGTATGCCCAAAGGCTCAATGACTCAGGACCTCCGTCAAGTACAATGAGCAAAAGAGTGGCGCGATAGCTCAACGGCAACCGCTTTGCAGAGCAGCAAGAAAGGATGGTTGGCAGAGCGCCGGTGATGATTGGTCGCCTACTCGATCAAATCGGAGGCAGGCCGTGGCGAAGATTGACTTTCGACTGAACCAGAGGAGGCGAGAGATCATTAAACGCCGGCCGAAAGGGGACCTCGAGATCGCTGTCCAGCTCGAGGAAGGTCGAGGTCAGAGAGGGTACTTGGGGCGACGTTCAGGATTGTAGTCACTAAAACGGCACAAGAAGTCAAGGAGCCACAATTAGCAACGTTCATTTGCGTGCAGGAGCCGCCCTTAAGGTTCGATGCGAAGAGGCAGCGTACCGTGGTTGGGCGAGGAACGTCAATTCGACGACCCTTGCGCCTTGGAAAGGGGGCTGCTGTCGAAAACGGGAGTCCGAGCGGGCTTGAATCGCTTGCAACACAACACGGACGGCGATGGCAACTGGGGGCGTGAGTGAGACGGTACTTCCCGGGCGCCCAACCGTGCTTGCGCTGGTGATGGTCAAAACGAGGATTCCTCAGCAGGAGCGAGAAGGATGATTAGACTCCATCGGGGGAATAACTGGCTTGACTGGGGAACGAGAGACTGCAGGTTAGCCTTCGCGCCATCACCAAGACGTGAGCAAAGAGACCAGTGAACCAGCCTTTTCCTTCGCTTAGCGGGCGGGCTAAACCTCGTTGCGTCCTTAGCGCCCTGGTCCCTTGCCCAAGACTGGTCCTCGTGCAGTCGAATGAATTGCTTCAGTGAAACGACTTGCTGAGGGCTGAGCATTGCCGCTTTTTGTATTCTTACTGGTGGAAAATGTGATAGAAGCATCTGACATTTATTATTCACCTTTTCCTGATGGCCACTGCGGTGGGATCATGTTACTCTCCTCACCTGGTTCCACATGCTCTCTTGCAAGATACTGACATGGGCTGGCCTGTCGAAACATAGGCCCAAACGCATCAAATGACCCAGGCAAAGGGTTACAGTTCCGAAGGATCTTTGGTTGGCCTGGACACCTGATGGGTTTTTGGTGCCTCTGGGATTCTAGACCAGAAAGTGCATACATTTTTCCCTTGTGGAAACCAGTTATGATTTTGATGCTGACTAGACTGTCCACCAGAATGATGCCGTTTTTATAGGAATAATTGAGGCTGCTTTTCTCTATGAGCTTCAAATGCAGACGGTCAATCCACCATAATTCATTATAGAACCAACACTCAATTCACAGTTCCCTCGCCCATAGCTATTTGTCAAGCTGAAATGGTTGCTCTTTGTTCATGAACCTCAGCTACTATATGCTTCCGTCAAAATTTCTGTGCATCGCCAAAAATCCTATCGATTGGAAGCCTTGTATACCGGTTTTTAGGAGATATGTCCTGCGTATTCATCGGATAAAGCCGCAGGCATGGCTACGTCCTTGAGCACGGCCTCAGGAATGTGGTCGCCATGACGGATAGAACTCGTACGGCTCTCAAGGAAGCGAACGACGCAAGGGTGCCTTTCCACACTCTATGCGAAAGCACGCTGCAGGAGTGATGTTGTGTCCGGGATATCCGCCATTAGGTCTGATTCAATTCATCTATGGGCAAGGAATTGAACCGCACCACAGCAGGGAAAGGGGGAAACAAAAGAGGGAGAGCATCGAAAAGATAGAAAGAGTATGGGGAATTTCAAACTCTTAATTACGTTGGTTTCGAAGAAAACTTTGGGTAATGGGTATTCAGACGAGTGCCACAAGCAAGCTAACCTGCGTTATAGTCTCTAACGCATCCGTAATCTGATATCGCCTGTGTAGCAAATAATGCTATGACAAGATTGGGATTTTCAACTCAGTGTCGCTGATCTAGTTGAATTCGCGATGATGGTCCTTTGCGGCCTTCCACAATGCCTTGTTGAAAAGGACGAGGTGGGCAGCTTGAATAAGCCAGATTCAGCCTTGGGGGCGATCGTTATTCCAATCGACCACAAGATATAAGATCCAGGAGCCTCCTTTGCTATCGCATGCTTCTCCAAAGACCAGGTCTCTCTTAACTGTCTTAACAGTTGGAATTCATCCAAATTCAGATCGCCCAATGAGGTTTAGTGCGTTTAATATTTAGAGTTTCCAGAATCCGGGATGTCACATGACTTTCACATGTCCGCTGGCTTATGTAAGCCCCGCAACCAAAATCCCGAGAACTTCGGCGGACAACCACCTTATGTAGCTGCTCGACGCAGTGATGACAGTCCTGGTGCCTTGACGGTCTATTTGCTACTCACCGCTTAAATACTAAAACGACTATACGGAAAGGTCCTCAATATCAATCGGATTGTGGTCCTGAGGCCCATGGTTCTTCGCCGCGCAAATGCAGGAGCCAAATCGCCCGCTCGCTGAACCAGATACCTGTTTTAGTGGCTAATATCGACGGACCATCAGCCCCTTTAAAATGGCCGCACAGTCAACGTTGCGAAAGCCGGAAGATCCGTTACTGGTTTTATTTAACCACTACAAGAAGTTGCTAAAAACACGGGTCCGGGGAAGTTCGCGGCGAACGCGACTGCTTGCCACTGCGGCGCTCGTCCTCGCAATTGTCGGAAGTGGGTATGGGGGATATAATTGGTGGCGGGAGGGCTCAAAAGAAAGGGCGCAAGGAAGAAGACTGCTGCGAAAGAATTCTGGCATTTTGAGGAAAGATGGAGCTAGAATCATCTATGTCCCGTCCAAGTCGTCGCTGTCGTCATCGGAGAGCTCCAGAGTGACGATACACCCAACGAAGTCCACGACCTTTGATGCGCACCGAAGACTATTCTTGAATACGCATAGGTCTGCTGGGGCATCTCTGATCCCTCCTCCGTCGACGAAACCGGGCCTGAATTTAGCGTTTCTCCACCAGCTTTTCAGCTTGCTCAGTATCATGATTCCAAGATGGAATAGCAAGGAGACCGGCCTTCTTGTTAGCCATGGCGTCTTTTTGATGCTCCGGACATATCTCTCCCTTGTCGTTGCGCGGCTCGATGGAGAGATTGTTAGAGACCTAGTTGCGGGAAAGGGCAGGGCGTTCATCTGGGGCATAACCAAGTGGTGCGGAATCGGAACGTTCGCCTCCTATACCAATGCAATGATAAAGTTCCTTCAGTCAAAGGTATCTATTGCTTTCCGGACACGTCTTACGCGGTATATCCATGATCTTTACCTCAACGACAATTTGAATTACTACAAATTGTCCAATCTGGACGGCGGGGTGGGCCAAGGAGCAGACCAATTTATCACTCAAGACCTTACACTCTTTTGCTCTGCTGTGTCATCTTTATATTCGTCGCTTGGGAAACCCTTTGTTGATCTCGTTGTCTTCACCTACCAACTTTACCGGTCATTAGGACCGATTGCCTTTGCTGTCATCATCAGTGGCTACTCTGGAACGGCCAGCCTTCTTCGCCGCCTTTCTCCTCCATTTGGGAAGCTAAAAGCAGTGGAGGGTAAGAAAGAAGGAGATTTTCGGAGTTTGCATTCCAGAATTCTAGCCAATGCGGAGGAAATTGCTTTCTATGGCGGTGCAGATATCGAAAGGGTGTTTCTCTCGAAAAGCTTCAGAGAACTACAGAAATGGATGGAAGGCATCTACGGCCTGAAGATACGATATAATATGTTCGAGGACATCATTTTAAAATACTCCTGGTCAGCTTTGGGGTACCTCATTACGTCTCTGCCGGTTTTCCTCCCTGCTTGGGGTGGAGTTGGCGGAATGCTGGAAATGGCAAATACTGGTGCAAGTTCCAATCGAGAACAAGGACGTATGAAAGACTTCATAACTAATAAGCGACTGATGTTGTCTCTCGCCGACGCTGGTGGCCGAATGATGTACAGCATCAAAGATCTTGCGGAACTAGCTGGATATACGTCACGAGTGTATACCTTGATTTCAACTTTGCATCGCGTGCATGCCAACGCTTACTACCAGGGACGTGATTCGCAGCCGGATATCTACTCTCTCTCTGACGTCCAAGGAACGATTCATAGCGGGTTCGATGGCGTCCGTCTCGAGCACGTGCCCATTGTCGCGCCAGCCATCTTTCCGCAAGGAGGTGACGAGCTCATTGAATCATTGTCGTTTATCGTCCATTCCGGCGAACATCTCCTGATCTCCGGTCCAAACGGTGTTGGAAAATCCGCTATCGCACGTATTGTCGCTGGCCTGTGGCCCGTGTACCGCGGCCTTGTCAGTCGGCCCCGAACTTTTGGTACTGATGGGATTATGTTCCTTCCACAACGGCCGTATCTCAGCATTGGCACGTTGAGGGATCAAGTTATCTACCCGCATCGTGAGATGGACATGAGAGAACACGGACGCAGTGACGCTGAACTTCTACAGATCCTCGAAGCCGTGCACTTGGGCTACCTACCCGAACGCGAAGGAGGCTGGGATTGCCGGAAAGAATGGAAAGATGTTTTGAGTGGTGGCGAGAAGCAGAGAATGGCCGTGGCGCGACTTTTTTATCACGAGCCGCGCTATGCATTTGTCGACGAAGGCACGTCCGCCGTCTCATCTGACGTCGAGGGCCTCCTTTATGAACGCTCCAAAGAGCGAGGTATCACTTTAATTACCATCTCTACTCGGGCTTCGCTCAAACGATACCATACCTTCAATCTCACCCTTGGGTTGGGCTCCGATGGAGCCGGTTGGGAATTCGACCGCATCGGAACCGAGAAGGAGAAAATGGGTGTGGAGAAGGAACTGCAGGAACTTCGGCAGAGGCTGAATAATGTCGACGCGCTGAAGCGACGGCGGGAGGAGATTGAGAAGGAGCTGCAAAACGTTTGGATGGATGATGGCGGCCGGTTGGATCCTCCGTCATATGCGGAGGCGACCGCTGCGGAGAATTCGGACGGCGATGGCGTTGATTGAATGAGATGTTGCGACTAATTTTCGGGAATGGCGGGTTTGGTTTTAAGCATTTAACTGTAGCATTGGGAAGAACAATGTAACTATGTATCTAGATATATAGCGCTGCCACGGCATTTCGATCTGTAGCTCTAAACTTAATGGGAGCTATTGCACATACAAGAACGCTCACTTTCTGCGCATCCAACAATATTACCTGCTATCTATTATTCGAGGTGACTGGATTACATCACAAAGCACCTCCATGCATATGCCGATGTTGAAGGATCTAGCCTCTAGGTCATCGGTTCAAAGCTCTGGGTCCTTGTGACACCACACGCACGGGTTAACTGCCCTCTTCCCAATGTGTTTCTAGACGAATTTAGTATGTCATCCATCACAAAAATCAGATGGATTTGCCACTTGTTCTTGTGCCATCCGACCCCATGATCGTCAATGGTTTGCTAGTGATGACTTCTCGTGCATCTGGTAACAGCAATCTGTTAACTACCATTTTCCTACCCAGCAGCTCTAGCACTGGAGAGAAAAAGGGCCATGAAATATTTTCATGGTACTCTCCTTTGTGGTTGACCAGACTCGAGCATTTCGATATGGTTCCCGATCACTATGGTCTCATGGAGCTTCAGCTTCTTTTTTGGGGGTAATGTTTGCATGCCCAGTATTCCGTGCAGAAGCATGTGTATGATGTTGCATCCCTCCAGGTTCGGACCGCTAATAAGAAGGGCTGGATGTTGCAGCATGCCGCGGATTTGGCATCGACAGGGATGAATAAGGATCCAGGCTGAATGTGCCGGGCCAACTAATAACTAGTTAGTTAACCAATTCCTTGCGGAATCCCCCCATGCAAGTGCAATTGGTGCATGGTGTGCTCGAGAGCCGCAGTGGCTTTCTGGAATAGTTATCCGAACGGAAGCCTAGCCTCTTTCGCCTTCTCCGCCGGAAGCCTGAGTATGTAGACGCCTTGAAACCGGAGGGCGTTTATTCGCTGATAAACGTCTGGGGGTATGGCTCTCTCGTGTGTGAGGTTGCGCGTTGCTCGCTGAATGAGACGAGATGTTGACGGACGGCAGGGTTAGCCTACCGAGCTGGCCAGCCGATCGAGGGCAATCCCGAACCTCTGCGACCATTTCGTTGACATATGTACACGACTCGGGAGTGATCGCATCTCGCATGGCAGTCACTGTGATCGTGGAGCATACGTGTCAACAAGCCTACCTCTGAACGGCTCACAATCTCTGGTGGGAGGTTCGGGGGGCTTGCGGACGGCGAAGTTTCTGCACAGTCCAATGGCGCAAAGACTCGGTTATTAGACACGACCAGAATCAGATGATACCTGCTCTGGACGACTGACAACAAGAGCTTCAAATAACCGATGTTGTCGAAGAATGACGCTATCTCCCGTATCCCAACTCGGGTTTCCCGTCGCAAAAAGAGACACCGTGTGCTAAAAGTTTGGTTAATCTGCGACGGTCGGCCGGTCATGCTCGTCAGCGGGCCGCTTCGATTGGATTTGCAACTTGGCTACTTTAGCAACAGGCTAACTATCCCAAAGGAGCAGTTGTTCATTTATTAATGTGGATGGAGATATGCGGGTGTCGAGCAACGTGAAGCAAATTCCCGCTAACATGATAACCACCACAGATTCAACAAAAAGCTGCAAAAGCCAAGATGCAGTTAAATTAAGAGATTTTGACAGCTACTAAAAGATGGTACGGAGTGAGATTTTCAAGCACTTATGATATTCGACCATTGGACAGTCGCGCGCTTTGACATCTGCAGTTTTGGTTATTCGGGAATCATCCTCCCCTGCTCTCCAACCCCGGATAACGGGCGTGCAAGCACCAAATTCGCAATCGGAACCCCCTTCATGTATACCCGGCTTGGCAGGCTAGTTAAGGGCCTCTTCTCCCATCAGGATATGCAAGGACACTCGTTGGGTGAGATCTAGGCGCGCTCCCTACATCCAAGCCAGAATGAGGGATTGCAGAAGTAAGCGGCCATCGAGTGGCAGGAATCCTCGGGAAGGCAGCCTTTGCGAACAGCACGTTTTGAACCCTGGTAGAAACGACTCTGCATTTTCTTCATGTAGTTTAGTGTACTTGCCTGGGTGTATACCATATGAATGACAAGTTTATATGGAGCCGCCGCCCACTGCTCGCTGCCTGCTGTCTGAGAAGGGAAGAGGATTGTTGCACCGCCGATGTATAACTCTTAGCCATCATGTTGACCATTTTCACAGGCTGGATGAGCAGCGTGGCTCTATATGCCACGATCGCTATAAGCTTGCCGTTCATCATAACATGGCTGTCGAGCAGTTTTCGAGCCCGCTGGCCTCGCAATGGCGAGCCTCCTATGGTGCCGCACTGGATCCCTTGGTTGGGTCATGCGTATTCCTATCTATTTGACATCAACCAGTTTGGGCAGAGAGTCAAGTATGTTGTTCTTTCTTTCTCACCCTGTATGCATTCAAGTCCATCTACGCTGACAAGTCCTCAGAAAGAGATATCCCAACGCGGGTGCCGTGACCTGCTTGGTTGGTGGTCGACACTATTATACGATTTTAGACGCAAAGCTGGCGGGACAGATTTTTCGTCGACCAAAACCGTTTGCAATGGAACCCTTTATCGTGGCATCCCACGAGGCCTTTGGCACGCCAAAAGCCGACACCGAGGTGATGAAGATGGGTATCCCGGGCCTGGAGCATGAGTGCGGCTACAGAGACGACGGCCGGCGCATCTGGCATACGCTGGGCAAAATGATTCAAGAACACTTGGGTGTCGAAGGATCAATCCACATGGCACAGACATTCCTAGGCCAACTGTCGGATGATTTGCAGAAGGTATTCCCAAAGCAATTGAAATCCACGGAATGGGTTACTTTGGATCTTCGCAGCTTTATCATGAAGCATTATCTGCATGCATCAGCTGCCTCCTTGTTTGGAACACATCTTCTGGACCTGTGGCCAACTATATCCGAGGATTTTTGGGCATATGATGAATACACAAAAATTCATCTAGCCCAAATCCCAGAAATATTGGCGCCCAAGTCATATGACTGTCGCCGAAAAATACTGAAAATCCTTCTCCAATGGGAGAAAGATGCGCGCGACAACAGAAATCTTGATAAGCTCATCGCTGAGGATGCCGCATGGGATGAATATTGGGGGGCACGGTTGATGCATCATAGAACGAAGTATACCGCAGAAAGTGGTCTTTCTCCAGAGGCGCGGGCTTCCATGGGACTTGTTTTTCTTTGGGGGTGAGTGCCATTTTAGATTCTATGCCTTCACGTTGCGGAGTACACGCGGACTGAACCTTCTTTGAGTAACTAGTCAAAACGCAAACGCTATTCCCATTGGCGTGTGGATGATGATCCATTGTCTTGTTGACCCGAACGTCAAGCGGAGGGTCTTATCCGCAATTGAATCATGCCGGAAGCCAGAAGGCGACATCGATATGCATCGAATTGTGACGCATACTTATTTAAAATCGGTATTTCTTGAGGCTCTTCGATACGGCGTTGCGGCGCCAACTGTTCGTGATGTGCTGGAAACAACCCAAATCGGGGAATACACATTCCACAAAGGCAGTGTCATCCACTTGCCTTCCAGGATACTGCATATGGATGACGAAGTATGGTGTTCAAAAGGGGCCACAGTAAGCGCATCAAGTTTTTGGAGCGAAAGGTTCCTTGATCCAGAACAGAATGAGAATATTGAAAACGCGGGGGCTGGATTTTCCAAAGCGGCAGCAGATCCCATTGCCTTGCCAGTCGGCACGCGGTCCAAAGATATTCGCGACCGTATGCCAGCATTCCGCGCATTTGGCGGTGGAAACCATCTTTGTCCTGGGCGGCACTTTGCCCTTTACGAAATTGTTGCTGGCATGGCTACTATGTTCACCATGTTCGATATTGAAGTGGACGAGGATGCTTTGCGGGTCAACGGAATGCCCGCCGTAGACCAACGAGGAATTGGCGGGTTGCCGCCGGACAGAAAGTTCATGGTCCGAATGAGGAGAAAGTGAGGACCACATCGAGGGAACCGAGTCTGATTCATGATCTGTTCGTGATCAGCTTCGCTATTCCGAATCTCCCGTGTTTCCTTGCTGGAGGATTGGGTTGGTGTTTTGGCTGGTCGTGGTAATTTAGTTTGATCTATGCCATCAATTATCTTGAAGTAGTCCTTCAGCCTGGTTATCGCTGCAAGATACTCTGTTTAGAGCGGAATGAAAGATATCTTGATGATCAGTCGCGGTACAATTGGAAGTTGGAGGCACACCAAACGCGTCTATCACGTGATGGATTTAGTTGGAACCTTTAGTTAGTTAGTTAACTAGTGAACTAAAGGTCAACTTCAATATCAAGGTCCATCGTGCTCTGAAGCTCAATAACGACAATGGGATATCTATCAATCAGATCAAGAAGAACCCCATTTACTTCTGACAGTATCGCACTTATGCAATCCTTGCTCAGATCTTTCATATTCTCCTGAGGGCTTTCTCTGTTAAAGCTCCAGCAGGGGTATATCTGAGCTGTTCACCACCTAAACACATTCTACTACAGTGTACGGGGGAGCCTTTTACATTTCGCCTAGCTTATATTCACCTGGTCTCCCAGGATGCCTCCTGCTCTATCAGACTCTGAAGAACCCATTCCAGGGCCTTCTGTTCAATTTTCTTCTCAAGAAGAAAAATGGGTGATAATACCAGTTGAAAACATGTATAGTGATGGAGATGAGAATATATGGCCAAAAGAATCTCGTTATGAGATGGCTGACCCAACAACATACCTTGAGAAGCTGGCTAAATTATGGGTGCAGAAAACTGGAGAGTTCAAGCAAGGTCAGTCTTGCATTGTTGTGTATATTCTCACAGGTTTAGACAGGTTGTTCGCAGCCTGTTTTCCATATGATCATACCAGGTCCTGACCTATCCCAACTCCCAATCGGCTAGCTTCAAGCTCTATGTGCTCTTTCACGCCTAGTTATAGGTGGGCCCACACCTACTGGATCAAGCATTAAGGCCTGAAGTTCAGAAATGGTTCCTGCGGCGATGGAAACCTCCATATCTCGGCAGCACTAAGTTTGCCAATCAATTACATTTGTTTGTTTCTTGTGCTGCTTATATACTAATACTCCTCAAACTGCCCAGGAGTACACTACATTCTCAGCAAACTCCCCGACGGATATGCCCTTTTATCTCGCGAACGCAAAAGCCAGCCGCATATTGTAAGTTCTGTTGATCAATATCTCGTATACGCGCTCCATTGTTGTTGGTCCTGACTATATTCGCGCCAGCGTGACAAATTTCTTTTCGGCCACCCTTCAGGGTTGTATTTCAACTCTTCGCTTAGGTTTTGGGTGCACTTTGTTTATTTGATGAATGGTGGGACCTCACCGTGCCTTTGCGACCTTTGCACTCTTAAAGAAAAGCAAGGACAGAAAGAAAAGACGGTGGATGCACCTGGGATGCCGCGGTTGATTCGGGGCCGAAAACGCGGCAAAGGAAAGCAAGTCGCTAGCAGCACGCGACAAGCAACAACAGCAAAGCATGGCAAGCGTGGTGTGTTCCTCCATACACTCGTCGATATGGTCTAATGCTAATGATCTCTTGGAATGATAGGCCATAAGAACCGAGCCAAATATATGGCTGAAGATGAGGAAGGAAATAGAGACGTATTCAAGGAACTTGTCTACAGACTTAAGATAAAGAAAACCTTGGATGAACCTGTGAAGGAGGTCGATAGCATGGACTGGCGTGCGGAGCGCGAACAATTGGATGAGCATTTAACCCGCATACGTCTGCAACACAGTTTCATCCCTCGAGTCGGCGAGCTCGTCCTATGGTGCCCAGAACTCCAGGGTGAAGTGCAATTTGATTTCGACAAAGATATTTTCCGGGAAGTTTGCCCAGTAACGAATAAGTTCCTTGGAGTCCCAAAGTGGAGAGCGGGGACCGTCGCTCAAGTGCCGGAAGAGCCCGTGGTGCTCGGTGACATCTACTTCGATGCAGAAAAATCAATGGCGATCAACATGTCCGGTTTTCGAATTGAAACGTTTCCGGACCCTAACAGCCCCAACAAAGATTTCTCCAGCCAATACAAATATGTCCCATTGTGCCATATTAGACCGTTCAATATGTGGGATATTATACTACAGAACATTCCAAGCGAAGAGTTCCATCCATCCATTTCATATGCGCTGACCATTATGCCTTCGTTTAGCATGTTGGATAGGTATCACTTTGCTGGGACTTGGCCCAATGCAACCATTTATTCCAAGGGAGTTTACATTGGGGCGGAACTCCTTGTCAGAGGAGATGCTGTTCGGATTTTCCCTGAAGAGTGGTCTTCAGAAGATGCATTTGGCTCGGTTACCGATGTTCTTGTGATCGAGAAGATTGCTCTAGAATTATTTGATTGCGACGCCGATCTCTCTTCCCCGGGACTTTGCAGAGCGTTCGCTCCACGGGTACAGGGGAGAGCCTTTACTATTTCTAAAGATAGGGCATACCGTGACCCGTCGTCTCCCAACGAGGAACCAAAACCGATGACGCGGGATGAAATAATCGACGCTTTCGAAACTGTATCTATGGGAAAGTATGGTCCATGGTATCGCTTACACCTTCCAGAAGCCATAATGGAGCTTTCAATAAACCAGATTATTGGCCGATGTTTCGAGTCGGACTACATGGATTTGATGTACGGCACGCTGGACTTCGATCTCGATCTCGAAGGGGTCATCTCAGGGCGCGAGTACGGACAAAAGACAGATGAGCGAATCCCGCCACACAGAGAGTGGTTCGCCGGAGATTACCGCCTCGAAACCCTTGCTCTTGAAACTTTTAACGGCATCGAAGTAGGGAAATTCGACGAAGCTCGGGATTTGAAAATGTGGCGTGCGAATCTAAAGATAATTGATGGAACAGCAACAGCGGCTGATATCAAAGAGGCAAAATTAACCCGTGAAAAGGGCCGTCGAAGGCTAGAGGACATCATTGGGGGGAAAGCGGACTCCTCAAAGTTTGTGGAGATGGGGAAGACCAGCTCAATGGTTAGCACCGCGCTGGCAGATATGTCAATCAATGCTACCCCCAACGATCTCACTTCTGCGCACGACACCGCAGCTGATGATGAGGACGAGGAAGCGCACGAAGAGCTTACCGCTTACAAAGACGAGAGTGGACAGAGTGACGAGAGCGAGGACCCCCTTGACCTATTGTTGCAAATGAAAACAACACTCGTTCGCCGTGGAACCGAGGAAA